CTCAAACATACAAACAATCAGAAGCGCGGTTAGAAATTGACAAGATCACTTGTAGGAAGCCTATACCATCAATCTGGGGTGTAGCTGTCCCACCCAAGTGTCCATCACTCATGCAGAAATCTGAGGAACTGTTGAACCCTTTTAGTTTGTTTGGCAGTTTTATAGTTAGAAGGTAACACTTCTGCTCTAACCGATAATAATGATTGCTCTACTATACCTTGCCAAAGTGACTACTCACCATCATAGTTAGTAAAATATGATCCATCGGTTACATGTAAAATATATACAATTTTTTTTTACTTCATCTCTAATCTAATAGTACGCCTAATAGTACTTTTGATAATCATGAAATATATAGAATTAATTGTTTTAGAAATAAATAAATGTATAAATAATGCTAAATTCATTAGTTTAATTCATTAAATACTGATATTAAATGTATTATAGGAGTTTTATGCGTGTTTAGTATGTGAGTCATGAAATAGATGGACAAAATGAAACAACTTGAGAATAATACCAAAATGGAATTTGTAAAGTGTAAACGCATAAAATACGTACATTCATATATGTGTGTATTCAGTGGCGGAGCCACTTTGGACCCACCTTTGCTCTAGATTAGGACCCCAGAAATAATAATACTTGTACACAATTCATAATACTCGATCTCAATACTTCATGTTTACGTTTTACTTGTCTGGAATGACTTATTAATTACGAGCTTACTAATTCCTAATTTAGTATTGAATTCTCCAATCTCAAACGAAATTTTGTTGACAAACTATGAAACGCCATCGTGAGTCATTTAATCATTAATAAATCATTTTTTTATATATTCTTATTTTAAGTCAAACTTAACTTAAGCGAAGTTCTTGCTACGCCACTGCATGTATTAAACAGAGTATTTACCAACTAGGTTCACCGAAGCCGAATAGTATGGATTTCTTACATTTGTAGAAAAGGGTAATTTTATAGTAAATTGTTTTTACTCAAGCATAAATAAAAAAATTAATAAAATTGTGAAAATCAAAGAAAAGAAGACAAATGGAAAGAAAGGCAATTAATCAGTGCAGTGTTTGTCTCTACTCCTCTTCTCTCCCTGTCTGGTCTCCACCACCGCCCACCCACCCTTCTCCGGCCCCCGGCCCTCCTTCCTCGCCCCCTTTTTTTAATTTACTTTTCTTTTGTTTTTTTCTCTTTATAATAAGCGGAAGATTTGACTGCAGAGAACGAGAGAAAAATATTTTATTTTAGAAACGAGCTAATAAAGTAAGAGATAAAGGAAAAAACAGAAAAAGATCTCATCTTTATCGAAAAATATTGAAAACTTAATCATAAAAGGTTGCCATCCTTTATTATTATTGCTGTTCAGAAGCATTGCACCAGAAAACAATTTTGGAAAAAGAAAGAAGAAGGAAAAAAAAAAAAAAGTCTCTTTCTTTGAAATCTAGAAGACGCGCAGATTTCCTACAAGTGGGTTACTTCCTCCATTCCTCTCTGCCCTTCCCCGTCTCTCTGTATTTCCATTTGGGTTTTTCCTTTTATTATTTATTGTCCCAAGAAACGGAGGAGGAGAATGGCGACGGAGAGAGCTTTTTGATCTGAAATTTGGCAGGCGTTACAGCACAGGAACAGAGAGCGGCTGCAGCGAGGCAGGGGGCGGCGAAGTTATGGGCGGGTGTGTGTCGACTCCGAGAGCTTGCGTTGGCGGCGGCGGCGGCAGTGACAGATTGAGTTGTTCGAAGAAGACTAGGAAGAGGAAGAAAATTGGGAAGCAGAGGAAGAAGCACCCGTCGTCATCGTCCAGATTGTCGGATGGCTCATCGCCGCTTCCTTCATCTGTTACTGCTGCAACTGCTGCTGTTTCATCCGATCATATCCCTTCTTTCCAAGGTCACCCCTCTTCCCCTGCTTTCTGCTCTGTTTCGCTTATCTTCTTCCCCTGTTTTTTCTGTTCCCCTGATTCCAATGAATGTTTTTTTTCCCCGGGTGCGAGGTGGGTTTGGCTTTGGCACCTGGATTTTGTTTGGTAGGGAGATGGATGGGTAGTTTGCTTGCGTGAAATTGGGGCAACTTCTTCAAGTTTTCTTTCCCTTTCCTTCTACTTTTCCTTTTCCTGGTTAAAGAAAAATAGTTGGTGGTGGTGATAGAAAGGAGATGGTCTTTTTCATCTGATGTCATTTAATTACTTGTACAGGTCAAGTTTTGCTTTTCGTCACATTTTTCTTGCAAAAAGTAAACGCAGTAGACCCTTCTCTTACTTCTTCTCCTGTGTATCTAAGCTCTGAAGAATGTGGTTATGAAGTTTTGATTGTAATGTTGTGAAAGGTACATTGCGTTGTTAGTCTGCCATATCATCATTTTCAGAGGTCTTTTAATGCTAGACGGTCGAGAGTTGCTCTGAAGAAAAAGGTTATGAAAGATGAATACTTTTTGGATTCCCCTTTTCGCCCTTGTGGCTATTATTGTACTCAAATGTGGTGACGACGGAGTCTTCTTTCTGTTCTTCCCAATTCCAATGTTTGGGTCCTTTTGTCGGATTCTCTGTGGAATCTTTACTACCGGTCATACATTCATTTTGTCGTATCGTTCTGCTCGGTCTCTCTTTCTAAACTAGAAATCTATTCCCTTTTTTTTGTTGCAGGTGGAAGCATCGAGGAGGCATGGTTTGATACAATCGCAGCATTGGAGTCAGATTGTGATGAGGATTTCCAGAGCATTTCAGATGGTTTGTAAATGTGTTGCTTAATCCTTCTATGGTTCCGAATCCCAGGTGTTCTAAACCCTCTCGATCGATTCATTATCTGCAGGTGTTCTATCTCAAACTGGGTCCGAGTTTGGCCGACTTTCGAGTGTGACATTTGGTAGAGATGCAGGCCATGGTACTGCGGAGCATAAGGGCGGAGATTCGTCGGGGAATGAGGCGAAGCAACCGGTGTTTCTCGACGAGGTCTCTGTGGATGAAAGTCATGCTGGTAATCATAGTAAAGGGGAAGGACTGTTAGATAACTGTGGCATCCTGCCTGGAAACTGTTTGCCTTGCCTTGCTTCCACCGTGTCACCGGTCGAGAAGAGAAGATCACTGAGCTCTAGCCCGCCGAGTGCCAGGAAAAAGTCTGCAGTGAGAATGTCATTCAAATGGAAGGAAGGGCACCCTAGTAACCCCTTGTGTAAGTACATTTTGCCTCTTCTTCTCGTTGCTAGGTGAACAAACGTCTACCATTAGTGCCTTGCTTGCCACACCTTTGTAATATTTATGATTTATCTGTCCTTTGCAGTTGCTTCAAAGATGATTCTGCAAAGGCCAATAGCTGGATCACAAGTGCCCTTCTGTCCCATTGATAAGAAGATGCCTGATAGTTGGTCGCACATCGATCCGGGCAGTTTCAAAGTTCGTGCACCAAATTACTTCAGGTAAATGCTAGAGAACTCAAAAAATTTCGATTCTTGGATGTGAAGTGTTCATTTTTGCTTTGCATTGTGGCAGAGACAAGAAGAAGGAACTCGCCGCCAATCATGCTGCATACTATCCAGTTGGAGTTGATGTCTTCTTGTCTCCTCGAAAGGTTGATCACATAGCTCAGTTTGTGGAACTTCCTGTAATTAACACCTCAGCGAAGCTCCCATCCATTCTTGTTGTAAATGTTCAGGTATTCTCAATTCATTGTACCATTTTGAATCCTCTTCTGTGGCAGAAAGATGTTCACTTCATACCGCCCTTCATTTGGTTAGAACTTATGCTTATACTACTTCTTTCCTAACTTCCCTTCACAGATCCCATTATATCCAGCCGCAATTTTTCAAGGCGAGACTGATGGTGAAGGAATGAGCATTGTGTTGTACTTTAAGCTTTCTGAAAGTTACTTGAAGGAACTCCCAACCCATTTTCAGGACAGTATCAGAGTAAGTCCATCACTGCGCTGTGTTACTGGCTTTTTAAAATCCGCATGTGACATTGCTTCACCTCACATTTTCTTGTTCGAAAAACAGCGGTTGATTGATGATGAGGTTGAGAAAGTGAGGGGGTTTCCTGTAGATACAATTGTGCCCTTTCGAGAGAGGTTGAAGATCTTGGGACGCGTTGTGAATGTAGAGGATCTGCATTTGAGTGCACCAGAGAGGAAACTTATGCAGGCATACAACGAAAAGCCGGTTCTGTCGCGTCCTCAACATGAGTTCTATTCTGTAAGCCTACTTACTTACTGATATCATGTTCTGCGAGCCATAGTTTGATGTTTTTTTTTGACATATTCGTTATGGAAATAGTAGTCCATGTTTAACAAAAACATCGGTACATTTTCTCTGGCTGTAGGGCGAAAATTACTTGGAGATTGACATAGATATGCATAGATTCAGTTACATATCTAGGAAAGGTTTTGAAGCATTCCTAGACCGTCTCAAGATCTGCGTCCTGGATGTTGGCCTAACGATTCAGGTAACGAGACATTGATTTATAATGTTATCTCTTATAGTTTTTCTTATGGAATCTGGGATTTGATTGCTGCTTCATACATTTTTGCCTTTGGTTCTGAACAGGGGAACAAGGCTGAAGAGCTGCCAGAGCAGATCTTATGTTGTATAAGGTTAAATGGGGTTGACTATATGAACTATCATCAATTAGGAATCAATCAAGATTCCCTTGACTTTGTAAGTGCTTAGAAGAAGAACTGTAAGAATTTTTCACCATATTTAATGGAATAAAAAAGGGCTCCAATTCTTTCAGAGAAAATTCTCCAATTGTTTCACTTCCATGTTCTGTGCATAGAGCATATGTCTGCTGTGGCGAGGTGTGAGAGTTAATGGGACGCTAATTGAGTATCATATGTAGAATGTAATTGTTCTATTTATAATCTGGATCGTAAACCTCTCCCAACCCATATCTCTAAACTGCTGAACAAATTACAGAAGAAAGAAAATTCAACGAGAAAATCTTTCGAAGCAAGTAATTGAGTAAGCTAAGTAAAAGCTTATGAACTTCTGAAGAAAGCAAAATTCCCTTGTAATCAAGAATTAGTACAGGGATCCAGAGGCTTCCCACATAAGCCTGCATTCCTAGAATAGCTGCTTCTGGGGAATTGGCTTAGAGGCTTACCATCAGGAATTTTTCCAACTAGAAGATTATCTGACAAATCAAGTTCATCTAGGCTCTTCAGGTTCAGAAACCCACCTGGAATTTTCCCAGTAAACTTGTTTCTCTGCAGTTTCAGCTTCTCTAATGAGCTGACATTTCCTAGCGATTCTGGCAACTCGCAAGAGAGATTGTTGTGGCTCAAGTCCAAGACCTGCAGCGACATCAATCTCCCTATGCTGCTTGGCAAGCCTCCTTCGAGATAATTCCTCGAGAGATTGAGATGGTTCACTGAAGCTTGTGATCCTAACCCAAGGCTTTCAATTCCACCTGTGAACTGGTTATCAGAAAGATCAATATGCTTCAAAGTACCATCTTCGAGGAAGCTGCTTCCTATCTCGAAAACTTTCTCCACAGAGCCTGTCATCAGGTTGGAATGAAGATCCAGCACTCCGAGAGATTGCAAGTTTCTAACTGTATCTGGGATGTTTGAAACAATCGAGTTCCTTGAAAGATTCAGTGAGTAGAGACTAGTCAGTTTCCCCAACCATCCTGGTAAAATGCCAGTAAGGTTGTTAGCTGACAAGTCCAGTTCCTGGATAGGACTTGGAGTTGAATACAAGAACTGTGGAATTTCCCCCTGGATTCCACAACCAGCAAGAAGTATCCTGGAAAGAGACGGCATTTGTGCTATCCATCTTGGGAATGAGGTCAGGTTCAACCGGTTGAATGACAGATCTAATGTCTGAAGGTTGTGCAAGGAAGACATGCATTCTTGAGGCAATTGTCCTTTGATCTTATTGTGCGAGATGTTCAACATAATGAGCCTGGAGAGTTGGCCTAATGAACATGGTAATTTACCAGATAATCGATTGCTGCCGAGGTATAACTCTGATAGAGCTGAAAGATTCCCTAAACTTGAAGGAATTGGTCCATGGAGTTTGTTGTTGTCAAGAGCAGCTCTCTGGAGCGAAACCAAGCATCCAAAGTTTGGAGGTAATCTTCCTGTTAGGTTGTTGTTGCTCAGCCTGAGAAATCCCAAGGAAGACATTTGCCCCCCACAGCTTGAAGGAAATGGGATCTCTCCCTGGAGATCATTTGTATCCAGATACAACACGGAAATGGACCTCAGGTCTGTGATGGAAACTGGGATTTCTCCAGTCAAGTGATTGTTTGAAAGATCCAGCAGTTTCAACCCTTGCAATTCGCCAATCTTGCCTGGTATCTTCCCACTTAGAGAATTCCCGTGGAGATCCAAATCCACCAGGTTCCTCAACTTGGTAATTGAATCAGGAACCGGACCGAAGAATTCATTGGAATACAGCAACAGCTGGTTAAGACTTTCCAGATTGCCAATGCTTGGAGGGAGAGATCCAGAGAGGCTATTCTCATGCAATTGAAGTTCTTGGAGTTTTGAGAGCTTACCTATGCTATCAGGCAACGACCCAGTGAGCCTGTTGCCAAAAAGATAGATTTTTTGGAGATCCGGGAGGCGAAAGCCAATCAATGGCGGGATGACACCTCCAATACTGATGAGGCCACCAAGATCAAGAACTTGCAGGGAAGAAAGGGACGTGATGGAAGGAGACAGGTAGCCATTCATCTCAGACTGGAAGATCGAATCTTCTGTGGTGATGAGACCTGGGAGACGGATTTCAGTCACCCTGCCAGTGGCATTGCTGCAGACAATGCCTTCCCAGTTGCAGCAGCCATTGCCAGACCACTTGGAGAGGCGGCCAGATGTGTCGACCTTGATTCCCGCCTTGAAATCAGCCAGGCTTCTGAGATCGTCCGGGTTGCAGGCTTCCTGATCAGCAGCCTGGTTTCTTGCTTCTGAATGCGATGGGAAGAATGAGATGATGAATGTGAGAGCAAGAATAAGGGAGCAGTGGAGTTTGGAACCCATGCCTGGTTGGTTCTTTGTAGCTTGAGAGGTTGATGCATCAATCTACCATCCTTGTTGTTGTTCTCCTGGAGTGAACTCATAAAGAACTGGATGAAAAAAAAAGAGGGTTTGATGCTCAAGAAAGAGTGCAGATCTTTTGCTAAAGTATCCAGAGCCTAAAAGCAAGAAGATCTCTGCCTGGATTCTTCCCTTTTCTTTACCCTTCCCCTTTACAGTATGTGTTTTGCTGAAAAAGAGCAACGTGCTGAAATTATGATGTCCTTTGCTTATTATTATTGTTTTGCTGTTGTTGTGTTTGCAGCAACTAAATATTCTGGTCAATTTGAATGTCCCCAGAGCAACAGAAACCTGCCTTTTTTTTTTCCCTTTGATCTTTTTTCTTCTTTGGGGCCCTTATTTTGAGGGGCAAAAGATGCTTCTGGTGTGGTCCTAATCTCAGAGAGACAGTAAATACATGTACATGAAGCAAAACTTGCAAACAATTATTACCAATGAGCATTGTTTATTAAACACTAACTAGGAAGAGGTTAAAATTAATGTTTTGCCTGCTCTATTGTAGTTGTCAATAAAGCCAAAGCAAAGCTCCTGAAATCAAAAGCTGTTCTGTGGTTATTTTCCTTCCCTACCTTAATATGACCCTCATTCTCTTTTCTTGTTTTTGTTTGGTTTTGGGGCTGAGTGCCAACTGCATGCATTGATGGCAGTATCCACATGTTACTCTGCAGAGCTTTTGCCAGCCCAAAGCCAAAGTGGAATATTATACAAGATAACTTCTTCCCATGTTTGTGGCAATTACAAGGTTCATCTTGTTCTCTTGTTGCTTTCCAACTCCCTTATTTTGTAATTCCGATCCATTTTATTGTTTCTTTCTGTGTCCTTTCCCTGAACATTGAAAGTTACTATCAAGTATCAACCAACTCTTTTGGAAATTCAACAAGGATCTCACAGTTTGAGTGTGTTTTGTTACTCCTCTCAAACAAAACAAAGAAGCCAAATGTTTCAATACTTTCATACCCCAAAATGGCCTTGTTTGGAGAAAGGCTCCCAACTATCCAACTCACCACACTGAAAGTCTTTTTCTTTCATTCAGCACAAGAAGAAAAAAAGCAAGTTGTACCACTTGAGGTCTTTTGGTTAGAACAAAAATGAGAGAATCAGAACTGGTTTCCATGTACTAAACAGCAAAGAACAGCAGCTCCTATATAGAACTGGCATCATGCTTTGACAAGTGAAATGAACAGATGTGTACCTGTGTGGTATGGATCCACTCCAGTAGCAGCTGCAGCATCAATTTCTGTTGCCATGATTGACTTGATGTCAGTGAAGCCATCTATCCATTTGAAATCCCAATTGAGGGAGAAAAAAAGCCCGTGCCAATCTTAATTTGTAAATACTCGGAAGGAAGATTGGAGATGGAAATCAATCTTAATTTGTCACCCTCATCTGTGAAAAGAAGCTCTAGTGCATGCAATCGACATTTAGTTGAGGTCGGGTAGAGAGTTGGTGGGAGTCTGTTGAATTTGCAACATGGGCACCTTAATTCTGTCATTCTCTTCTAGTCACAATGCGGAGGAAGTTGCTGTTCCTTGTGAATGGAAAATCACTTCGACTTCTTCCAGCTGAATGTGTAGTACAGAGGACAGCGCACAGCGGCCAATGCAAACTTGTGATGGCAGAACTCACGAGGCCACTCTGTGATCTAAGGCGTCTAGGGTACAGGTTAAGAGATTTCAGAATAGATCGATCTTTAGGGATTTGATAGAATTGTAATTGCACTAGGAAATAATTAGAGATTTAGGATAGGAAGGATATAATTGGGGATTATGAATTTAGAGGAGGAAATGTTAGTGACAGAAAAAGGAAAAGAATGGCCGACGGCCTAGAGGGAGAGAAGAGAGACTGATTTTGAGGATTAAGAGAATAAGAGAGATAAATCAAATAATACTATTTATTGATTTCAGATTATTGGGAAGAAAGATACAAAGTACAGATTGGAATAAATCTGATAAATAACTTAATACTAATTTTTTTTTTACCAATAGATCACTTGTATTACCAAGGCAAAAAGATAGCAAAGTTTACAACCCAAGTTCAAACCATTGTTCAAAATCAAAACTATCTACAGACGCAGGTAACAAGGAAAGGGTCTTCCTGGCCACATCATGGGCCACCCAGTTGCTACTTCTGCCAACAAACGAAATTCCAAAGCTCCGATACTGTTGTCGCAGACTCAAAATCTCCACCAATATCCTTCCACCCTTCACATCACGCACATCCATCTTCTGCACTTTGTCGATGACCGTCTTTGCATCCCCACAGAACATCACCTCAGTTAGACCCTTCAAAGAGCACCACCGAATTGCATCTCGTAACGCCACCAACTCCACCAAAAATGGATCCACGAGCCCTGCATACTGAAAGCCTTTGACAGCTCTGATACTCCCTGTCCGGCTGTCCCATCCCGAACCACCAACCCCCCAGCACCATGCGACCCTGCCAGAACAGCACCATCCACATAGCAGCAAAATGGCAATTGTGCACCCTGACTGCGCACTCCCCCCATATCCGCCGACGCTCGCCTCTCCTGCACCACCACTCCCTCCCCCGACTGCATATTCGCAAGCCACTCCCTGACCTGAGCTTCAAATTGGCGCGCCAGACTCCTAATATCATACTGCATATGATCAAAGACCACCCAATTCCTGCTCTTCCATATTCTCCATAATAAGGCAACAAACCTCACAATTTGTTCCGGCCCAGGATTTTTCTCAATAAATTTCCGGAAGACTAGAGCAAAATTCAGCGGAGAATTCACTATACCCTCAACCTCAATGCCCGAATAATTCCATAACTCCACAGCCACCCGACAGGATAAAAACATGTGCTCCAGAGTCTCTAATGGAGCCAAACACACCGGGCAACGTGGAGAAATTGAACTATCATCTAGTTCCGTCTCCTCAAGATCCGCCGGCACCCTACCAGTCTTCTCAATTACCGCCTCAGCCGTAGGCAGAACCCGCCTCAGGACCTGCCACACAAAGAATTTCAGCTTAGGAGGAAGGGGAAAGTTCCATACCTTTTTCCAATCATCCATACCGAAGAAGGAAACTTCATCCTTCCACCCCGGCATCCTCCTGCTTAACTGAAAGGCCAAGTGATATCCTGAACGCACCGTGTAAACTCCATCACCCTCCCAAATCCAGACATATCTATCCTCCACCGGCTGCTTGGGTAATGGAATCGACTGAATAGCCCGCACCGTCTCCGGCAAGAAACACTGTTCCAAGCATTCCACACACCACCGACCCATTCCCGGCTCTATTAGCGATTCCACCTTCGCACCCGTTAAATCCGGGGCCTGAGAACGAAGGACAAGGCTCTCTGGGCGGATCCCTGGGATCCAATCATCCTCTAGAATGCTTACCAACGATCCCTCCCCAATCTGCCACCTGAGTCCCTGGCACAAAAGATCCCGGCCATGTAAGACACTCGTCCATCCCCAAGACGGTCTAGAGCCCCGCCCTGCCTTAAAAATGGATGTCTTAGAAAAATATTTGCCCTTCAGAACCCGCGCCAGGAGCGATTCAGGCTCCTTCCAAATTCTCCAAGCAACCTTAGCCAGCAAAGCCTGGTTAAAATTTTCAAATCTCCTAAATCCGAGGCCTCCATCAAATTTACTCCGACAAAGATTCCGCCATGATACCCAATGCGCTTTGTCCTTGTCCGCTGCATATCCCCACCAAAAACGGGCCATGTACCTGTCTAGCTTACGGCATAGTGTCACCGACAGAAGGAAACAAGACATAACATAGATAGGGAGAGCAGAAGCCACAGCTTTAAGGAGAACATCCTTCGCTGCCCACGACAACTGCCTCTGTTTCCATCCCTGAAGTTTAGCCAACATCCGTTCCTCCAAATATCTAAATGTCTCCACCTTAGATCGCTGAACCAAGGAAGGTAGGCCCAGATACTTGTCCTGGACACCAATCGCCCCTACCCCAAGGATAGCTGCCATCTCTGTCACATCCGGAGGGTCCACATTACCACTAAAGCACACTGCAAACTTAGTCAAATTCACCTTCTGCCCACTTAGCTCCTGGTACTCCTGTAGAATTCTCAACAATTCCTCACACTCACCTTTAGAAGCCCGCAAGAACAGGTAGGAATCGTCTGCAAAGAACAAATGGGACACACTAGGACATCGAGGACTAACTTTCACTCCCGCCAATCTTTTAGCCTGAATGGCCTCCCGCAAAAGAGCCGCAAAGCCCTCCGAACAAATGGAAAAAAGGAGCGGAGATAGTGGATCCCCCTGCCTCAATCCCCGCGTCGACCTAAAATAGCCCATTGGCGTACCATTCATCATCACAGAGAATGACGCCGTCGAGACGCATTCCTGTACCCAATCAATCCATTGCCTACTAAATCCCATCTTTGTCATAATCGCAAACAAGAAACCCCACTCGACTCTATCATAGGCCTTTTCCATGTCGACCTTCAGAGCCAAGTAACCTTTCTTCCCTCGCTTTTTGACAGTGAGATAATGCATAACCTCGTGCCCGATCAGCACATTGTCCACTATCTGACGCCCACGAATGAACCCATTTTGCTCCGGTGAGATAATGGAAGGCAAAATTCTCGCCATTCGTTCCGCCATGATTTTAGATATGATCTTGTAAAAGAGCTGACACAAACTGATCGGCCGAATCTGCGTCATGGACTCCACTGCATCCACCTTAGGGACCAGCGTCAACCAGGTGTAATTAAAACTTTTTAGGAGCCGCCCGGATTGAAAAAAAGACTGCACCGCCTCTATCACATCACCCCCAATGATATCCCAGTAGGCCCGATAGAATTGACTAGTGAACCCATCCGACCCCGGGGCTTGAGTAGCCCCGATGGAAAAAACGGCACTCCTGATCTCAGTAGCAGAGATTTCGGCCGTCAGGCCTCTATTCATCTCCTCCGTCACACGCCCCGGAACAGGCAACCCCGCTACC